CCACACCATTGTTGTCCCCCTGCACCCACCCTGCATTGTTCTCACCGCCGCCCGCCTGCCATCCCCACCTGGGAGGGACCCTTCCTCCCTCCCACTCCCCGTAGCAGCTCCGGCTCCTTTCTTACCTACTTCCATATATTCCTCTGACCTATTGGCATCAAAACATTTTTCCCTTTCTGAAAGCGCATTACATAAAGTATGGTTACTAGATCCCACGGCTTTTGTGAGCTGTGGGCGCTCTGCCTTGAGAAGCCCAGTCCAAAGTCTCTTAAACAACAAGATTCTTATTTCATTGCTATGGACTTTAGATCAGGCCCAAAATTAGGACTGATAGAAAGTGTTATTGCATTTTCAGATAGGATATAAAAGGCTAGAGCAAAAATATGTTGTCACTATAGAACAGAAGCATGTAACGAGACAGGTACATAGAGATAGATATTATTACTTCTTCACAATATATAGAAATGACTGGCATGATTTATATTGGCTCCATTGTTGAAATAAATAAAAGTTAAATGCTTTCTAAACTGTGCTTTTTCTCTTTCATGTATAAAAGCAAGTAGGGTTAAAAATATACTTCTAAAAAAACAAGGCAAGGCTCACATTTATGTTGTCAAGTGTTAATTGCAGACAGGTTTTCTAAAATATTCGTACACGTATATCTCTATATAAAAAGTATAGAAACATTTTTATTCATTTACCAACTAAACAATATTGAATGTTTAAAAAGATTTTTAAAAAAACACAGAAACAGATGAAGTTAGCCAGCTGTCCTGTCATTATTTTGGCCACCTTGGTTTTTACTGCTCTCCATTTTGTACACCCATGAGGTTCTTTTGAACTAGTTATCTATATTTTTCGTACAGGCATATAGGGATACTAACCCTAAATTTTTATGTACTTCTTTTTTTTTTTCCTATGATACTTCACTTTTGCTGTGGTACTGCTTTTGAAATGATACTCCTTTTCACAAAATCATGTTTATTATACAGAGTATGATGTATAAACTGTTTTTCATGCTTAAATTAAAAGTGAGTCTTTGCTAATCCTTGGGAAAGAGAGCAGCTATATATATTTAGGGTAGAATAAGTATAGAAACAAAACCAAATACCTCATTTTGTTAATAAATAATTAATATATTTTGTGGTTTAATACATTAAAAACTCATTAACTCTTACCATGGCTTATGCGATGAAAGCAGTAGTATGCAAAGTCCACTCCCAGGAGTGTCAAATACCATGTCCATGGCGAGTCCCAGGGCAGTTCAAAGAGTCTGTAGTTATTCCATACGTAGATATAACTAATTAAGTCAATACTTCTGAATAAAACACTGAAAGAGATATCAAAAGAGTTTTATCAATAATTTTGTCAACTATGTATTTACCATTTATCAGATGGGAGTCTTTTTGTAACACATAAAACCAACCTCCAAGTTGTGCAACTGCCGTCAAGTAATACTACTATTGACTTCAGTGGAACCTTTGCTTAAGGTCTGCGAGGTTTTTTGAAGCCAACCCTCACCCACACACCACCCATGTTGTAGCATGAGAGATGCTCAAAGGCTGAAGCGCTCCTGTGCTCTGCAGTTATTATGGTGTTCCTGTTCTCCCAATTCTGGAAGAAACCCATCCTTGCTAACTCACAAGTCAGAAGTGACTGAAGGATAGCAGCAATTATGCTCAAACACTAATATATGACATGAAAATACCTTGGCTATTTCCATTGTAAAGAAGGGCACAGAAGATGACAGGACTTTTGGGAGCAGTGAGATATTCAATCTGCTCAGCGTATCGCTTAACCTCACTTGAAAAGAGGATAAATGCAGCAGGAGGAGACAAAGCCCAGTGCCTTTGAAAAGAAGGGAAAGGGCAATTGCTAGAGAAAAAAATGGCAGAACTGCCAGAAATGGGGGGGGAGGGGGAGGGGGGAAATCGTGAATTTGCAAAGGCAGGAAAGCCACCAGACAGCAGCTTTTCTTGCTGCCAAGTTCCTGGACTACAGGGAGCGAGCAGCTACCCCTGACCTAATGCAGGTCAGCACTGAGACCAGAAGAAGGAGAAAGAAAGCAGCTCTGGGATGGACAGGCCAGATCCAGCAGTAACTCTCCACAGCTGTTTAGGTTAATACAAATTTGGGTTGTCAGAGTCACACCCTTCCCGCAGTGCCCCACCACCTCCCACCCCATTTCACTCATTCAGAGGCAGAGCTATCTCCAGACAAAATGGGTTTGCCAGATGAGTTTTTCGATGGATTGGGAAGCGCTAACCCCAGCATGAGAGAGAGGAGAAACCGTAGGCACTGGGGTGAACCAGGTGATAATTGACTTGGGTAACTGTGAAATGGTGCCTCAGCTGCAAATTGATGTATATTTGAACTGGCATTTTTGTAGAAGAGAGTACTCCACAGCATGATTTGCAGCAGCCTCCTCATACTCCCTCCTGCTACCCTCCTTTGCTGTGTTGCTGAAAATGTTTGTGGGACTGTGGCAAACTGAACTGAAAAGCAGCAAGCAGAA